CGGCCTCCGCCTCCGCCGGAGAGAGGGTCAGCCGCCAGCGACCTCCCTCCCACGCCGCGGCCGCCACCTCTCTGCCGCGCTGTATCGTGGCGCCGTTCTCGTGCGCGTGCCGGGCGTACGCGATCGGCGCCAGCCAAGGGTCCACCGTCACCTCGCCCGCCACGAGCAGTGCGCCGAGCACCGACGGCGCGAGCGCAGGCTCGCGCGCGCGCGCCTCGGCCGCCGTCAGCAGCGCGGCGTCCGGGTCGCCGCGCGCTCGCCGCATCTCCAGCTCCGCCTCGAGCCGGCTCAGGCCGTCGGCGTCAAACGCGGCGTACATCGAGCCCGTCGGGCGGTGCGGCACGTTGAGCTCCGTCCACGCGGGGAGATTGAGGCGCGCGCCCTCGGAGAGGCAGGCGTGCTCCACCGTGCCGGTAGCGACGTCCGACGCGGTGCACGCGATGCCCGTGTTGCCGGCCGATGCGCCGGCGACGAGGTGCGGCTGCCGCTCCACGAGCAGGCAGCGCCAGCCGCGGCGGACAGTCAGCTCGCGCAGCACGGCGCAGCCGACGACGCCGCCACCAACGACGACTGCGTCCCAAGTGCGTCTCACCATAATGTACAGACAACTGTGCTGCATGAATGCTTGCCCAGGTGTGAACAACACCTCGTGACCACGGCGCCGCAGGCGCCTGTTGATGGGTCCAGGTGATAGCCCTGGATGGGCAATGCATACGCCTAGTTGGACCTCAGATCGCCCGACCGCGTCCCGGTGCTTTGTGGTCGGATTTGTGACGCCGCCGCACCGCGCCGCGGCCGGGGGCCCTCCGGAGGCCAAGGATGGCCGTGGCGGACCGGGACGAGCTCTGGGAGGTGGAGTGTCAGTGAGTATATTGTAGAGACTGACCATGTGCACAATATCTCTCACTCTAGCTAAGCCAGGGGAGGCGATGCCGGGGCCGTACAGCAGCTTGATGGTGCTTCGCCGGCGTGCGTCCCGGAGCGGTGCCGGACGGGGGCCCAGGGGAGGAACATGGAGGACAACGCCGACGCCGCTCTGATTCGACTTTTTACTTCAAACAAAGACAGTCTCGCACGCGCCGCAGCGCGGCGCGTGCGACTGTCAGGAGCGGATCCGTCAGTTAGTCGTGTTCACGCCGGGATCGTGTCCTCCACAACCTGGGCAACCATTCAGGGCGACGAGTACAATACATGACGGAAAAAGAATTTTTGACGCCGTTTTGTTTGTTCTTTCTTCTCTCACAGGGCTGGCGCGCACTAGTGCCCAGTGTCGTGCGGAAAAAGAAATTAATGAGGCCTATAACGCGCGAGGCGCCGAGGCCGGAATCCTGGTGCTCCCAAGACCCAAGAGCAAGTGATGCTCCAAGCCCTCCAAGCCTCCCAGAAGATCTTTGGGAAGATCGCAGAGGTCCGCGACCGGAAGAATGCGTGTACACTCTGGGGTACAAGCTCTCGTCACTCCAGCGACGGCTTCAGGCCGACGCACGCCACGGTCGGCGGCTCGCACGCGCCGCTGGCGAAAGCCTGCGCGCTGAAGCCCTCCGGGTAGTCGACGACGGAGATAGAGGCGGTCGGGATGTCCACCCTCATCGGGTTGGGCTCGCCCAGCGCCTCGCCCACCATCGCGCGCGTGACCCACATGTGCGACACGATGACGCCGGCGCCGCCGGGCGGCAGCGCGCGCAGCATCGCGTCCCGCTGCTCGAGCACGCGGGAGCGCACGTCGCAGAAGCCCTCGCCGCCGTTGACGGCGTTGAAGGCGCCCGGCGTGCTCTCGAGCGCAAACCGCTGCATTGCGTCCGGGCCGTCTCGCGCCTCGATCTCCTCGGCGGTGAGATCGGTCCAGCCCGCGCCGATCGGACCACGGTCCACCTCGCGGAAGGCCTCGAAGGTGTCGATCTCCATCGGCGGCTGCCAAACCCCACCCTCACTCGCGGCGACGGCGAGGGCGGTGCCGACGGCGCGTGCCCCGAATAGCGCCCGCCGCATCGGCGAGGACCAGATGATCTTGACCTCGTCGAGGTGGTTGGACGCGATGTGCTTGGCGGCCGCCAGCGCCTCCGCCTCGCCGACTGTGGAGAGCGGCACGTCGACATTGCCGCCGTAGAAGCCGCCCGGCTTGATGGCGGGCACAGCCTTCTCGCGGTTGACGGCGCCGTGCCGCACGAGGACGAGGCGCCGGGCGGTGGGCGAGATGCTGACGCCGGCCGCGGCGAGGGTGCAGAGGCAGGCCACCATTTTTGCGATGCCCGCGAGAGCTTCGGATTTCTTTTTTCGAAGGTCTAATAAATAACAAAAAAGAAAAAGAACAGATCGTTGATGTCTAACAATGGGTGTGGTACACGCCTGGAGTGCACCACTTGCACCCAGATCGCTCGCCATACGCCATCCTCCAGACCCACCCTCTGTGCGTCCTCGACAAGCTTGGTTCCGCTCCCCGAGCCCGCCACCGCACACAGTAGCTCGTGACGCACGTTCTCGCCAACGTCCGGCAGCCGCAAACCGACTGGATTTTTCCGTCCCCGAACAATCGTTCGTGTAGTGGCGCCAATGGCCGCCTCCCGTCGCGCCATTGGCACCCTAGCCAGCAGCAGCACCGGAGGCAACACCACCAAGCCCACAAGTCACAAGAGTGACGGAGATGCTTGCCACGAGCACCGTGACACCCGACCCTGTGAGCACTGTGGGCGTATACGGCTGCATACGGTGAGATGATGCACAGCATGGCGAGACGAGGGATGCAAGGCTCGCCAGCTGTATGTTAGTGAGGTATATGGATGTGATCAACATGTGCATCACAGGTACGCGCAGCAGCGCATGTAGCCGCTGATATCGAAGACAGCGCAAACAGGTCTTTTTGCGCCACGCACCCGATGGCCGTGCTGGTCCAACTGCGTGCACAGAATTGCTGTCAGCGCGTCTTCGCCACAGCTGGACATGGCAATGAAGCAGCTGAGACGTGATAACACCGGTGCTGGGCCAAGGAGGTGGCCGCTCACCGCCGATTGTTAGGACGGTCGTCGAAGGCGAGCGGCCGTCGCCGGGCAGCAGCTCGTGGCGATCGTCGATCCGCGAGCTGCCAAGCTTGTCACAGGCCGGCACTGGGTCGAGGACGATGGCGCCGCGCGGCTGGAGGCAACGGAGAAAGTGGAGCGGCGCGGCGAGAAAAATCGGGGGAGGAAAATCATGGGAAGAAAACTCCCGCCTTCTTTTTTTTGCTTGGGGCGGCCCTCATGATGAAATTCTGAAAAAACCTGGCCGGCCCCTGCGGTGCCCCTACCTACCTACCTACCTACCTACCCTACTTATGGGAAACTAAAAAATAAATCATGACTGGGGTACTATACCAACTAAGTGATGGCTGGTGGTACTCTCCTGCAACCATAGTCCTTCCTGTGACATGGCAGGCCACTCTCAAGCCCTACAAGCACCAGATCACCTCACTTGGGGAGGGTTGACTCTTGACATCGTGATTTCCGCGGAAAATTTCTTTTTCTGCTGTGAAAATTTCCGGCGTGAAGAGAGGGAAAACCCAGACGGGAGGGCCCAGACCCCGTCTGAACCACACGTGTCCCTCCTTCTTCCTCCCTGGTCTAGACGTCTAGTGCCCGTCTTCTCCGCCCGTCGTGGCTGCGGAGTTGGTCGCACCCTCGTGCATCTTCGTCCTTTAGACGTTTCACCTAGAGCAAGCAGGGCGGCACGCCCCCAAGCCACTCGCCAGCCGGGTGGGGCTTGCACGTGGCAGCGACTCGACTGGTCGCGTCAGCCCTTTGTGGAGCCCGACACGCTATCCCTCCCAGGCCATGCCTGACACGCCCGCACCTTAACCTTGGTGCATTCCGAAATTCGGGATCTCCTGCAAGGCGCTCAACAGAGTGCCAATGCACTACAGACCGAGTGCAAGTTCGTTCTGGCCGCCTCCCTCCCTGAACTCGCGGCGAACCTCGCCACGTTCCTCGAGTGGAGCCGACTGCAAGACGAAGACGGCTCGGCTACTTCTTCCTCACGAATTTCGCCGTCTACATTGATAACATCTCGCCCACCGTTTGCAGCGCCAGCGCCGACGCGGTGCGCTGCGCGCGCCACGAGCTGGAACTGCTCGAGCTGCGCAACCTTTCCGACTTGCTCGAGTTCGTCGCCGACGACACGCGGAAGCCGACTGCCGACGACTTCGCGCAAATCCGTCAATGAAAAACAGGCTGCTATCGTTGCGGGGATTGTCGTCGCCCCGCGCGTCATCAAGCGGGTCGATACCATCTACGCCGAGACGATCCTCAAGACCTTCTTCGCCGACGACGCTCTGCGGACCATCTACCGCGAGAAAGCCGCCAGGATACGGGGTGCTAGCGGCACTTCCATTGCCCGCTTAGCTGCTATCCGTTCCTCGATCGCTAATGTCCGGCCGAAGCTCCAGAGGCTGATCCTCGAGACCGTCGCCGTCAAGCCCCTTCTTGCCACCGGTTTTGGCGCTCAGGCTGGGCGGATCCACTCCGACTTCAGGCGGCGTGTCCGCCGCGTTACCCGCGTCAACGACTGGCTCGAGGACGAGCGACTGAATCCCACACAGCTCACTGCGCTCCTCACCAAGTTTTCCTCGCCGAGCATACCAACGAGTCCTTCCGCTCCGACGTCGACATCGCGCTAACATCCAGGTCACCAGGCGCCACGACGGCTTCGTCCACGTCTCGCAGGAGCAGTACGCCCGCCGATTCGTTGAGCAGTCCATGAGCGACGCTAGTTGGGAGACGCGTAGGTCCACGTCCGGGTGGATCGTCCTCATGTGGCAGGCCATCGTTCACTGGCGCAGCGTCCAGCAGCCCTCCATCGCGCTCTCGTCTTGCCAGTCCGAGATCATGGCTGCCTCCGAGGCGACCAAAGACGTGCTGAGCTACCGTCGCCTAAATAAAGGCCGAGCTCGAGTCGTACGTCAAGGACGGCGAGGTCATCAGCCCCCCCGAGGCCCCGCCCACCAAGCAGTACTGCGACAACCAGGCCGCTATCGCCTCCGCCTACAACCCCGAGAACCACGGCAAGCTCAAACACGTCGAGCGGCGCCACTTCTTCATCCGCGAAGCGATCGAGGAGGCCACAAGATTTGCGTTCCCTTCGTCCGCAGCGACGAGAATCTCGCGGACTACTTCACGAAGCCGCTCAAGCCCCAGCGCTTCTTCGAGCTGCGAGACAAGATCATGAATGTCAAGGAGCTCCTTCCCCAACCCCATCAGACGGGAAGCGAGTCTGCTTCTCGCCAAGCCATGAGCGCTCGCCACGCGCCCGCGTCGCGCGCCTCCCGAGAGCCACGGACTCTCCTCATGCATGTTCCATGCTCCATCAAGAGGGACACCTTCCTCCCTTTTCCATGTTAGTGACTCGACTACGTCGAGGGGGGGGACGTCTGAACCACATGTGTCCCTCCATTCACACTCTCCCAGTCCTCCCTCGCGTGGTCTAGTGCCCGTCTTCTCCGCCCGTCGTGCGGAGTTGGTCGCACCCTCGTGCATCTTCGTCCTTTAGACGTTTCACCTAGAGCAAGCAGGGCGGTATGTATGTATGTAGGGCGGCACGCCGTGTGAGTGAGTGTGAGTGAGTATTCTTGATACGAAACCACGACGACACACACCAGTCGACTCGCATCGGTTGCCTCCATGAACGGCGGAGCTATTCTCGCGCCCACACCACACCTGGCTCCAACGTGGACACGCCCATAGCTGGGGACACTACTAGGTCACGCATGGCATCAGAAGTTTTGTCTCTGGGCCCCGAAAGGCATCTCTAGCAGTGTCGTTACGCATGCCCCCTCCCCTCCTGGGCGCATGCGCCTCACGTCTCGCCAGAGCATACGCCCTTGGTGTGTGGCGAGACGAGTTTTTCGCCATGCAGCGAGCAGCAAGCCGCCCGCCGCAAACAGCCGGAGGCATCGCCACGGCACTGACTGCGCCGCGCTCCCGCACCCGTCGACGAAGCTCCCCCCGCGGAAGACCGCGCGTAGCGACGCCTTGTCGATCGAGATGGGCGCGCCTGAAGCTCTCCCACCCACACACACACACACGGCACGCCCCCAAGCCACTCGCCAGCCCAGCCAGAAAGAGAAACCTAACAGGTGCGCTGTGTTGCTCGCCTCGCCTCGCCGCTGGCCACGGATGGCGCGGCTGTTTCCTCTCTTCTGCTGCCTCGCGGCGTTCGCCGCTCCGGCGGCGGCGCTGCGGCTTGGCGCGCCCCTCATGCGCACCTGCGACGCCAGCCGCCGCAAGGCCGCCGGGCGACACCTGAGGCAGCTGGCCGAGCTGCAGGCGCTGCCCGCCGCAGAGGCGTGCGAGGCGGCGCAGGCGACGCTGGCCAACATGAGGGCAGAGGGGCTGCCTCTCAACGTCGACGCAGTGAGCCGCGCCATCTCGCTCTGCGGCTGCGAGCTTCCCGTCGCCGAGTCGCTCTTTGAGTCGCTCGTGGCGGCCGGCAACGACTCGGAGGGCGCGTACTCGTGCCTTCTGCGCGCGCAGCTGGGGAGCGGCGACCTGGACCGCGCCCTGGTCACCTTCCGCCGGATGCTCCAGCGCGGCATCGCGCCGCGAGGTCGCAACGCCTCTCCGGTGTTGCACGCGCTGTGCGCGGCGGGCCGGCAGGTCGACGCAATGCGCTTTAGCGGGCGGCTGGTGAGGCACGGGCTGGTGCTCTCGCAGGCCAGCGAAGCCGCGCACGCACCGCGCTCCCCCCCTTGCCTCTCCTCCCCTCACCCCGCCCCGCTCTCTCCCCCCAGGAGGACCACGCCGCGCTGCTGCTGCTGCACGGCAGCCGCGCCTCGCCGCGGCAGCTCCGCCGCCAGCTGGACAGACTTCTGCGCGAGCACTCGACGCCGGGCGCAGAGACCGCCGCCGCAATCGAGGCGGCGGTCGTCGCAGTCGGCGGCTCCGCGGCTGCCACCCGCGTCGCTGTCGGCCACGACGGGAGGTGCCCTTGCTGCGGAGGCGGTCTGCAGCTGCTCACACTCCCCGAGGAGCAGCGCGAGCGGGTGCACAGCCAACCTCCAGCCCCGCTGCCTCCTAGCTGCCGCCTCGCTGCCGCCTCGCTGCCGCCTAGCTGCCGCCTCGCTGCCGCCTCGCTGCCGCCTCGCTGCCGCCTCGCTCACGCTTCGCTCCCGCCCAGTTCCCGCCCAGCTCCCGCCCAGATCGCGTCTCGCTGCCGCTCACTCGCTAAGCAATGCCCCACCCCTCCTGTACGCTTT